GGCTGCTGCTATCATCACTGAGCTTTGCGAGCTCGGTCTCAAGCTCGGCGATTCGCTTGTCCTTGGCCGCGACCCCCCTTTTCAGTGCGGCGATATCATTGATCTGCGAGACAGCCTCGTCTGACCTTTTGGGCGCAGTGTCGACGAGAGAATCTGTGAGTTGCTGGCTGGAGCGAGTCGCACGGAAAGGAATGTCTCCGAACAGTGAGCCGGGTGGGTGCCGATAAGGGCTCAAGTCAACTCGTCCGGAGGAATCCGGCCCGGTGCCTGGTCCACTGTCAAGCGAGCTCGGTCTCTTTGCATCGGTGGTTGGAGCAATGTCGGCCGCTTGTTCTTGGAGGAGGGACTCTATGACACTTCGAGCTTGGTCAAGGTACATCTCCCTTTCAGGTGTGGCCGAGCTTCTGCATCGCCGTCAGCAGGGAAACATCGGCACAGTTGTGACGCTACCCACTCTTGAGGGCAGAAGATGAGGAGTGACAACGCTGAGTTGGCTAGTTGGATCCTCCCGCTCGACTTGTCAAGTTGGTCGCTGGAGAGGGCAACTCGGAACACCGGCCATGCCGACTGGAGCTTGCGTGCCCCACGAAGCTGATCCCAGTCGCCAAGACGCGTGTAGAGAACACTGAGTTCCACTGAGGTCGCGTTGACGGCCCTGTTTACCTCTTTAAGCCAATCGTTCGGTCGTTTATGGCTCGGTAAGGCGGTCGGGGATCGCAACAGCGTATTCAAGCCGACAATGACGGCTTTTGTCGCCTGGACCTGGCTCAGCACGAGACGCACATTCCTAGGACCGTCACCGACGGATTGTGCAACCGATATCAGGACGTTCTCAGCCTTCGAAGCGGTAGCAACAACGGCAGCTCCGGCAGCGCTGATGCTCAGAGGATCTGCCATTGTCTGAGGCAACGACGTGAGAACAGATTGCCTGATGGTCGGGTGTCAAAACCAGGTCGACGGCGAAGAGCAAGCATGCAGAAAGGGCGCACCGCCCGCGACGCCACAAGCAAGACATGAGGGGTCGCCAAGCGCCATACCAGGTTCGCTGCAGCTGTTGGCGTTCGCGGAAGGGCAAGGCCACCAATACGACGTCTTGACCCGTTAGCCAAGCTCTCCATCCGCAACATTGGCCTGTCGAGCGGCCAACCACTGGTGCACTTGACAGTGGGGTCGACGATGTGCGGCCGACACCTTCCCGCACCATTGTTTGTTGCGGAGAGGATCCTGAAGACTCCACAAAGCCGACCGAGGCCGAGCAGAGCTTGAGTTGCGCTGGCAGACAGACCTTCCAGAGTCCTGTTGCACGTCGCAATCGAAAGAAGCAACCAATTCAACACCGTTCGCGCATAAGCCCAGATTCTGGCCAGCAAACTCAACTAGCAGTGATGTGTCTAGCCTGCCCGGCTAGCTCAATCGGTAGAGCGTGAGACTCTTAGGGAGTTCCTCCGTCATCTCAAGGTTGTGGGTTCGACCCCCACGTCGGGCTCAATTCCCGTCGCGATGCTTCATTTTTGGTTTTGTCCCCGACACAACGAACGTACCTTTTTACCACCTTCTGCATTGAGAAAATGGTGGAAACAGGTTACCATTTCTGCGTGGAGCTTGCAGCGATCTCCACTGACGTCGCGTTTTCCCTCGAGTTGTGGCCTGAGCAGGCTTCCGTCCGGATGTATACGACGGCAATTACGCGGGCTCGTCGTTGGCGAACCGTCCTTTTGTTGGCGCGGCGTGGTCTTGTAGGAAGCCGGATATATTGCGCCAATGTCGCATGCGACCCAGTTTGGCCGCCTATATATTACGTCGAGGTTGTATGTCGGTCGGCTTCGGGGCTGGTGCTGACCCTGCGCATATTGGTAAAGTGGATCGATGGCAACATTCTATGACAAAGCCCCCTAGTGGTTGTTCAAGTTAACCGCTCGGGTCTCTCGGGTTGGACTCAATTGTCCTGGAATAGGAGTCCAGAGCTGTATGGTTCTCTTAGCGACAGACTGAAGGATCGAGCTCCATAGTGATCAGGATCGCCCCCCGACGCCCAGTCTTCTTTTTGGGAAGGAATCTGCCTCATGCGAATGAATTACCATGTGAATGGAGATGATTTGCGGCTTGGAAAGTCCCCGAGATGGGGCACCTGGGTGAGTATGAGGTGTCTGGAGTTGTATAAAGAGGCATCAACATCGCCTTGACAGCGACAAGACACCTCACCACCATCCTCATTCTCATCCTCACCCTCATATCCTCTCCAAACCAAACCAAAAAAACACCAACCAACCAAACACGAAAATGAAGGTCAACGCCATCGTCCTCCTCGCCGCCATCGGCCAAGCCTCCGCCTTCCGCTACCGCTTCTGTCCGTTCTATCCCGTCCCAGCCTTCAACAACCCCTTCGATCTCAGCAGCTAACATGGATCCCCAGACGCCGATGCAAGCTGCAACCACAACGCCCCCGCCTCGAGGACCTACCCTCGCAATGATCAGGGCCCGTACGTTTTTGTCTCTCTTTTTCCATCCATCACAAAAGAAGCGATGAGCTGACGATGGCGAAATGAAACAGCTTCGAAGGCGGCGTAGGCGGCTGCTACAGCGCCCCGACCGGAACCAACTGGCAGCGTCTCGAGATCGATACCACGTTTGCCGGCACCAGCAACAATGTGATTACGTATTGCAACGTTGGCTGCCAGGGTTCGGGATCATCGCTGCAAAAGAATACGAATTGCTATATCCCGTTCCCGGGCTGTGCTATTGGGAGCTTGTAAGTTTCCTTCTCTCTGATTTTTCTTGTGAAGGGCTATTGAGCTGATTTGGATCCCCGTTTAGCAAGGTTGTCTAAAGGACTTTGGGGAATATCTAGCAGGGGACTGTGGGGAGGTTGATGGTGCTCGGAAAGGTGTGTTGAGGAGGTTTTTGGGGGTTCGATAGGTTCGGTAGTTAAAATTCAGTGGTGTCCTCCCCGAATCTTGCGTCCTGTGTTCGCTCGGGGATGGGACGAGGTTGGAGCGTGTCCTCGGTTTCGGGTGGTAAGGTCTGTCTCTGTGGTTGACTTGCGGGATTTGGAGTCTCAAATGGCAAGCTCACCTCCAACTTTGGCGCCTTTTCCACCCCAAGAGGCTTAATTCGTTCGGGTAAACCCCCCTAACATGCTTGAGAGGTTTCAATGACATTAATTGCAAAGACCGTCTCTCCGGTGGACGAAAAGAGTTCAAGACACACCCGGGTCGTCGGGTTAGGGTTATTGCAAGCACTTGGAGCGGTTTCGGCGGCGCTGCACCCAAGTTCGGGTTTTGGCGGCCCCAAGAGTCTCCTCGGAACAACATCTCGCAATCGCAACCCGTAAACGCAAACCCCTCGCAAAGTCCTGCGACCTCGATCCTGCCCACCATGCCACGCGCCGTACGGCTTCCGCAGTCCACAAACAATGAAAGACGCTGACAATGCTTGCCTCCCAAATGACAGGCAGTCGGCCAACTGACCTCGACGGCCTCCATGGCCCACAATCTCCGTTTGTGCCAGCAATTGGTCAGCAAAGCTGCCAGATCCGGAGCAAATGCGCTGTTTCTTCCCGAGGCGACTGACTACATTGCCAGTTCTGCCGACGAAAGCGTAGGGCTGGTCAAGCCGGTCGACGAGAGCGAGTTCGTGCTCGGGCTGCGGGAGGAGGCACGGAGGGAGCGCCTGCCGATACATGTCGGGGTTCATGAGCCAGGTGTCGACAGCCGCAAGGTCAAGAATACGGTGCTTTGGATCAATGAGAACGGCGACATTGCGCAGCGGTATCAGAAAATCCACCTCTTTGACGTCGATATCAAGGATGGACCGGTCTTGAAGGAGAGCGCGTGCGTCTTCTCTCTTCGATTGGGAACATCCTGCTAACGGCGCGCGCCGGCAGTTCGGTGGAGCCCGGGAGTCGAATTCTGCCACCGTTCAGCACGCCTGTTGGCAAGGTGGCATCCGCCATTTGCTTTGACGTGGGTCCAAACTCAAAACAAGACAAGCACTCCACTCACAACGCCCAGTTGAGATTCCCAGAAATCAGCATCGCCCTTCGAAGGCAGGGCGCCGATATAATCACCTTCCCTTCGGCATTCACTGTGCCCACAGGCCAGGCCCACTGGGGACCTCTACTGCAAGCCCGAGCGATTGAAACGCAGTCCTACGTCATCGCCGCAGCGCAGGTAATTCGGCCAGGCCCACTGAACAAGCTATTTGCTAATCTCCTGTACTAGGTTGGCAAGCACAACGAAAAGCGGACGAGCTACGGGCACAGCATGATTATCAATCCGTGGGGCGTTGTCCTCGCCGAACTTGACAAAGCTGATGATGAGCCAGCGATTGCGATCGCTGACATTGACTTCGATCTGCTGAAGAAAATCAGGGCGGAGATGCCCCTGGCGAGGCGAACGTGAGCCGGCCCATTGTTACGGGCCGCAATGTTTATAGCTGCTAACCAGCAAATAGGGATGTTTACCCGGAAGTCTAATAGGTAGTTTTGACGTCGTATCTCAGCAGGTCGATATCGAACATCAGATATGATAGCAGCAGCAGCAGCAGCAGCAGCAGCATTTTGTCCAGCAAAGCTCTTTCGTCGCTTCTCGCGCCACAAAGAGAATACCAGTCTTGTCTCAACCTTGTCCAGCAACAAATCTCCCATCAGACTCGACCCTTTGTTGTTTGCTTCCTTCACTCACCTTATCCTTCTCGTTATCCACAGTTGGACTCCCGTCTGTCCTCTCTTTGTTTACGGCCCCAATCCGGCCAAGGATCAACTGCCCATTCACCATACCCGTTCGTACCCTTGAACTATGTGCTCTCGAAGGCTTCTGCCGCCCCCTTTCCCCCCCACCGGCGCCATCTCCCATCCTCCGCTGCCTCCCTCCCTCTATGGCTTCACACCCTCCTCCGGTAAGACACCGCCGGCCCTCTCCGCTCCTGCGGACCCGCGGCCCCACGCCCTAGGCTAGGGCTTGAGTATTGGATTTCGAGTGGACGATTTCAACAAGCAGCCAGTGTTGGTGGTGTAGTGGTTAACACGCTTGGGCAGAGTGTTGTATTATATTGCGTACACTACGTGGATTCAATTTCTGTACAACACATGAGGTTTCAAGTTCCTCTGCCCAAGAGCCCCCGGTTCGAACCCGTGGCCAACACAACATTTTTGCTCCATCTTGATGTTTTGTTTGGCGTATTGTCATTTTAGCCTCCTGTTTTTAGCGTCGGAATTTCTTTTTGTTATTCCCCGGTGGCGTCTGCGCTTGTCGTCTCGCACATTCCATGCAACACCTAGGTTTGTTCATCCTGGTCGCCACATGCAGCGCCATGTACCTCGGTATGCAGACATCTGCCAGCGCCGTCATCATGTCGTCAAGCTTACCACTCGGTGTTGTCGGTGTCGAATATGTTTCGTAACGCCGAGCCACGACCAGCATTTCAGGACGCCCAGACCTTAGTGTACCGTACCCGGAAGGGAATAGGGCGGTAAGACAGCGCACGACCCCCCGCATTTCCCAGCCCCTTGCAGCCGAAGCCGCACCTCCCTTTCCAAGTTTCCACGAAAAGTTGGGCTATTTGGTAGTGTCCAAGGAGCGGTGTAATATCACACCCCACCGGGTCCGACAGCCACAACAAACGGCCGCGAGGATTCAACTCCGTCCGCCGGTTTACAGACGTCCGCAATGACTGCTGATATTGCCCCCGACGACTTCACGGCCAAGGGTCCCCGAACGGGCCCAGCCAAGTCCATCGTCGGTCTCAACACGCATGCATCGCCGGCACCCAACGCGTCCTGGCTGTCGCGCCTTGTCAAGAAAGCACCGATGGTCGTCATCACGGCTGGTTTGTTGCTCTCACTGGGCACTAACTTTAGACCTCTCCCTAGCATCTTCTCCACTCCGGTTACCTCGGTTCCACATGTTACTGTCAGGAATGGAACGTATGAAGGCATTCACAACCCCAGCTTCGAGCAAGACTTCTTTTTGGGCATTCCCTATGCACAAGACACGTCTGGACACAACAGATTCCGGGCTCCCCAATCACTGAACACCACTTGGCAGGGGGCCCGCGATGCGAAGCAGTACTCGAATGCCTGCCCCGGCGACACTCCCGATGGTGATGACTTTTACGGCATGTCCGAGAACTGCTTGAGCATCAACATCGTCCGGCCTCGCAGACAGAGCTCTCTATTTCAGTCCGCCCTCCCTGTTCTCCTCTACATTCACGGCGGCAGCTACCAGGTCGGCACTTCGGGATGGCACCGATACAACCTCAGCTACATTGTGGAGCATTCGGTCAAGATGGGCCGTCCCATCATTGCAGCAACCATCAACTACCGCAAGGGCGGGTGGGGATTCCTCTACTCGCTCGAAGTCCAAGGCTCCGGCCACACCAACATCGCGCTACGAGACATGCGTCAAGCCCTAGCCTGGGTTCAAGAGAACATTGCTGCCTTTGGAGGGGATCCCCGACGCGTCACCATCTGGGGCGAAAGCGCCGGATCTTTTGCTGTGGCCCAGCTCATGATGAGCTACGGCGGCCGAACCGACGGCCTCTTCCACGGGACCATCCAGGAGAGCGGCAGCGCCGCAACAGCCTGGTACAATGGCACGGAATGGTACCAGCCCATCTACGACAACCTCGTCGTCAAAACAGGCTGCACCGACGCCATCGACACACTGGACTGTCTCCGCTCGATCCCCTACAAGACCATCTACCCGCTGCTCATTGCCTCCCGTTTCTACCCCGTCGTCGACGGCGACCTCATCCCGCAATACCCCACCGAACTCCTCCACGCCGGTCATTTCGCGCACATCCCTCACATCTTGGGCACCAACTCTGACGAAGGCACTGACAACGCGCCCGTCGGTCTCCAAACCACAGCCGACCTGCAACGTTACCTCACCTACGGCGGCTTCGACTACCCACCTTCAGTCGTCCAAGAAATCCTCAGGCTCTACCCCGACGATCCCGCAGCCGGCATCCCACTCAACACGGGCTCGGAACGCTTCCCAGAACGCGGAAACCAGTATAAACGCGCAGCCGCTATCGTCGGCGACATCTTCTACCACGCGCCCCGTCTTGACGACGCAAGGCACTACGCCAAACACCAGAAAGATACGTACGTCTTTCGATTCAACACCCGCGGGTGGGTGCCCCCTCCTCCCTCCACAACAGCGAATTTCACGGTCGAGCCATCCTGTGCAGGCAAGGCGTTGCACGACTGCGGGATGCTGGCACCAGCGTGGGAGGGTGTTGCACACGCGACCGAGCTGGCGTTTGTGTTTGGGAATCCGAGGTGGTTGGGGCCGTGGCCGGAGAATGTGGCGCTCAGTCAAAAGATGATGAGCCTGTGGATCAACTTTGCGCATGATGGATCGCCGAATGGAAAGGGTGAGGTGGTTTGGCCCGCGTACGGAAGTCGAGAGGCGGGAGCGAATTTGGTGTTGCAGACGGAGGAGCAGGGCGGTTTGGTGGTGGAAGATGATGTTTACAGACTGGAGGCGAGGGAGTTGTTGACCAAGTGGGCTCGACGGAGGCATGTGTGAAAACGAAGACAGAAGGCTGTTGTCCTAGCGGTCAGTTTATAAGATTGTTGGAAATCCTACTGGGACGAAAGAAAGGGGGAAATTGTGAATGCTAAGGTTTCTTGTACCAAGACTCGTGCAGCGTCTTGCATTTTGTCTTGATGAGAACAAAGACGTCCAACTCCATCTGCCGACCTGCTTGACGATAATGCGGCTCGACGACTAACAAATATTGGCTTGGCCGAGCACGGCACCATGTCTTGGCTGGGGCTGAGCCAGGTCGGGTCGTATCCTCTCCGCGCTCCAACTCAAGCGCGCTGTCTCGAGAGATGCAGCTGCCAAACACCAACCCAGATACACATCTTCAACCCACACACTCCAGGTCACCGACCAAAAACCACAGCTTCAGCACAACATCTCAGCACCCCAGCATCCTAGCACCCAAGACTGAGTATCCCAACCATGGGTTCACAATCATCTTCGCAAACAACCCCACGAATGCCTTCCCGAAAGGCTTGGCAAGAGGCTTCACAAGTATCCCCAGCCGTGGTCTCGCAAGTTACTTCAAAAGAGACCCCAGAAACAGCTTCATGGGTCTTACAAGCATCACAAGAAACCCCAACAGTGTCTTCCCAAGCAACCTAACAAGTGGCTTCAAACACGGCTTCACAGGCAATCCCAACCATGTCGTCACGAGGAACTTCACAAACATCACAAGCAATCTCACAGACCTCACAAACATCAAAAGCGACCTCACAGGCTTCCCGGGCTCCAGCCACAACCTCCTAACCCTCACCCTCACCCTCGCTCTCACTCTCACTCTCACCCACTACACTCCCACCGTACCAATGCGACCCCCTCACCTCATCCCCACCCTCATTTCGCCTCCTCCGTCTCGAACACCGTCCAAGCCATCTCCCTCACGCCTCCCTGCTCACATTCCCCCTGTCCTCATGCCCCAGCTACACCGCAATCTCCTACACATGGGGCCGCCACCCTCCAACCTCCTCCCTCACCATCGCCAACACTGCTCTCCGCATAACCCCCACCGTGTTGAGAGTGGTTTGGAGGAGAGTTGGTTTCATCTGGTATAGTTCGTCAGTGATGTGCATGTTCAGACACCCAGCGGAGACTCCCTTTCCTAGGGTCATCTATCAACATGCCCAGGGTACTTGATCTCAAAGGAAATTGCAAAATGCCATGGGAAAAGTCAAAACATCTATGCAACGCTAAAAAAAAAAACACCATCTTAGTGAGACGAGCATAAAAAAGTCAAACACATCATCTCAATGTCAACCGATCTTCCATCGGCGGTGTCGTCGAGGCTGTGGGCATCTGATGTCAATCAGCGCGACCTGCACGTGGTCAAACGCACCACTCCCCTAATATCGGGAAGCCTGAAGCAACTGCCAGCCCGCTACAAGCCTCGTTGGCATTCTCCTGACAAAACCGCTTCAAAACTGATGATACTTTCCTGATGCTCCAAATTCGGCCAGTCGCTGATCCAAAAGCCGTGTTGAGGCAGCCTCAAGTCTCGAACTGATGCTCAGCTGATCATCACCGACATGACCTGCATCGCCAACCCCATCGCAACCCAGCCCACCATCTTGGATCAGGTGCTTATTCGCCAACCAAAAAACCTACCAACATAGCGGTAGCAACCCAAGAACACTGCCAAGTGGCGTGAAAAGCTTGATTTGAGCCTCCAAGCATCACATATATAAAACCCGGCGTGTCATGTCTTTGCTTGGGGGACATCCCGTTTCTCAAACACCTGAAACAACCAAACCAAACCGAACCAACACACAGAGGAGATTCGCAAAGCGTTACCACATCAATGACGGGAAGCAAGCTGGAAACTGCCGCTCTGGCAGGCAGTGTCGTCGCCATGGCCGACCAGATCATGCTTGGCGTTCGCGACCACCGCGAGGGCCAGCAGCATGACGCCAACGAACACTACGTCAAGGCTGCTATCGCAGGTGCTATTGCTATCGGAGCTTATCGTATGCCTCCTTGAAAGACTTGTTCTGAGTGTTCACTAAACAAGGTGACAGACATGATGCAAAACGATGAGAACCAGCACCGCAAGGAGGAGGGTGAGAAGGAAATGGGGTACGAGCCTCGTACCGAAAAGCCCACTGATAACACTGACCACGTCGTTGGCTTGCTGTCCGAGGCAGCTGGAGCCTATGCTCTTGGACGGCAGATGATGGGACACAAAGACCACATGATCATGAAGTTGATCGCCGAGGGTCTCGGTGCTGCTGCTTTGGCGAAGCAGACGGATAGGACCATCGTTGACTGAAGATCGACTTGCGTTCTTGAGTCCGGGGAAGAAAAAGGGGGGTTAGGACGCGTATTGGATATTCTGCTATTATTGTTACTACTCATGACTAATGACTTGTGAACAATGAGCTCAAGAAACAGAGTTGTAGGTAGTTAGGGCAAAATAGAAACCGTGGGACGCCTGAGCCTCGATTGTCTCATCTTTTCGTTCACCATGGGTTCCTTTTCCTTTTCCGCTCTCGCTTTGCCCATGCAGAACACACAAAGCCTGATGATCCCGTCGATGAACAGTAACGCCATCAGAAGAGCAACCCCGAAATAGAGAGCAGCCACATATACGCGGGTG